TTCAGAGACCTAGTCCACCTGTTGAATCAAGCAGAGCTGACCCAAGCCAAACCCAGAAACCATCATGTCAAGGAAAGAGAGCTCCTATAGAAAGAGCCATCACACTGAAGACCTTGCTTCTAGACCTGAGATTCAGATACCTGTGAGCTACGTGTACCACCTTCTACGGGAAGAGCAATACACCCCATTTATATGTTCCTCAATGACCCATTTCCTCCTTACCTTGCTTGTTCGCCCTACCGACTACATCCTGGAGCTGGCAGGCTCCAAGGCCAGGACACCACAAACCACCCCTCAACGTGGGAAGAAAGAAGATCATAACTGTGAGCCCCCTAGTGTCTTCAAGAATGTGTCCTTCTCTTTGTTCGATGAGATGCCTGAACCCAGGAGGAATGGCTGAAAAATGCGTTGAGGAGCCCAGCCTCAGAACCTCAGCTGGAGTCATGTCTCACAGCCGAGGAAGCCCCAATTTTGTCATCAACAAATGTTATTAAAAGATGTAAATCCATTTCAATGGTTCTGACTGGGTTTCTGTCATGTTGAGTTGGAGGGGTTTGTGAGGTGCCTTCCCAGGCATGTGGGGTTCCCAGCAGGAAGCTGGTAACTGGGGGGGGGGGGAGCTGAAGACCATGACTGAGGTGGGGAAGGCTTTCTTCACAGTAGAGAAAGTCTGAAGTCAGAAGGTGGCAGTGGTGGGAGTGGGGGGAGAATGTGGCACACCATTGGCATGAACTTAATGGGATAGGCTTAACATCATATGTTATTTATGTATCCTCTGCCTCATTCTAAAAAATGACTTATGGTGTGGATTATTTGCTAGTGTAGTGAATATAAATTTCTCTCCCCTTTTATAGACATTGGCCTTGATATCTGAAACCTATGAGCTCACTTAAGCAGTTCTTAAGTGTTATTAATTATTAATGGACAGGCTTACTTATGAATGTATTACATTTATAATATGATCATCTATCCTAGTTTTGGATTAAAATCATAATCATTGGAGTGATATTTGATACAAGAGGAAAGAAATATCAGTGGCCAAATACATGCTTTAAGAGGTTTAAGAATAACCTATGTAGCCAGGTACAGTGGCAAATGCCTGTAATCCCAGAGGCTCTGGAGGCTGAGGCAGGAGGATCGTGAGTTCAAAACCAGCCTGGGCAATTGGCAAGGCCCTAAGCAATGTTAACAAGACCCTGTCTCAAAAAAGAAAAAGGGCTGGGGAATGACTCAGTGGTTAAGCGCCCCTGGGTTCAATCCCTAGTACCAAAAAAAGAAAAGAAATAAGCTCTGTAATTCTGTTCTGAGTAGTGGACACAGAAGTGCATAATATTTTGTAAATTTCATGCTCTATACTAAGTTTTAAAGTTGTGGTGTCAGTGTTAATAATCTGACCCATTATCTGTGAGTGTTCATATTGAGGTTTTCACTGATCATCGGGTCCTCAAGGGACTGTGACCTTTCACAGAGGGCTGCTCAGTAGCTGCCAAGTTCACTTCCCAAAAAGAATCAGGAGACCCAGATTTCAGATCCCCGTGCACCACTTTCTGGCCACATAATCTTGGACATTCGTTTTTTCCTTCTGAGCAACAGTTTGGTCATGTATGAGATGAGGCATAAGAGTCCCTCCATCTTGGGTTTTTCTAAATATTTCCATTCATTTGGGAGACATTCATTCTGAGACCTTCTGGTACCATCCCAAAGTCTGATTCACTTCATTCCTTTGGGTGTGTGCTCAAGGATAGATAACTCTGCCTAGAGTGAGGAAGAATGGTAATCTGTTTCCCCTGAGATTAGGGAAAGGGGAGAGACTAGGGGGGAGCAGAGACAGAGGAAGTAAAAGAAACATGTCCATTTTAAAAACAAGTGGTAGTGGCAGAGCAGCAAGGGCTATATTCGAAGCATAAAGTGGGTCACTGTTATATTTCCCCATTGTCAATTTCTACATTCCGTTTCTATGGAAAAATAGACGACAACATCTCTAAGCTGCTTCCTGCTAAAAGAAGGTGAAATTTGGGGAAGTAACCCAAAGTCCTTGCTGTCTATCAGGTGAGACAGGGACAGTTAAGGGTATTCAGCAACAGAGCAGTCCAGAGGTCCACAGTGGCAGATGGACAAAGCATACATAGGGCAGGGATCATGCTAAGATAACAATAAACAGGACAACAAAGCATTACTTTTTTGTAAACACGAAAGCAATTGGTATTTTGGCTAGTCTCTGGAAATCAGAAAGACAGTAACTCATAAGCATATTAGTGAAAAACTATCAATTTACCAATATAGGAGGTTAGGAAGATTTGTAGGTCTATGAGGCCAAGCTCAAATTAACTCAGGACAAACTTGAGGCTCTTGAGTTCTTTATGATCATTATTATTAGGCACTCCCACCATCTCTCCCACTGGAGAGATCACCAGTGGTGTCCTCTCCATAAGCCCAAATCAAGGGAAAGCTTCCTCACCATCTTCACTCCCAATTTGCAGAATGCACAAAAGGTCTAAACTTGGTGGTCTCATGCCTTCTCAAGGTCTGATTCCTGTTCTGACCTGTTTTCTTCCTGAGCATAGGTTTCCTTGTGCTTTCAGAAGGGGCATTTGGCAGGGTGCTAGATTAGGATGATGACTACTCTGTGTCATGTGCCATGTGGAGCTGCAGCTCACAGAGAACAAGTGAATTACAACTCCAGTAGAGAACACGTGAAAGATAGCCTTTGAATCCCTCTTTAAAAGCCCCCTTTTCCTGCTGATGGGAAGAATCACAGCCTCTGGGACAGGAAACCCCTGTGTTTCTCCTTTGCTAGCAAAACAATAAACTTTTTTTTTCCTTTTTCTCAAAATAATAATAGTAATAACAATAAAGTCCAAGCTTTTGCATGATCTAAAAATCTTAGAATTTATCTTTAAAGTGACATAGTATAAAACCTCTTTACTATGATTCAATTAATTAAACATGAATTTATATTTCTCATAATGTTTTATTTGTTTATTATGGTATTAGAGATTGAACCCAGGGACACGTTGCCACTGAGTTAGATCTCCAGTCCTTCTTATTTTTTTGAGACAGAGTTTCACTAAGTTTCACTAAATTGCTGGCCTTATGATCTTTCTGCCTTTGCCACCAACTCAGGTTGCTGGGATTACAGATGTGCACCACCACACCCAGCATCCCATAATCTTAAAGATCAAAAGGATGTAATGTCAATTAAATGATTAGCAGAATTCATAATTTTGGAAAAAACACACCTAAATAGCATAAAAATGTATGGTTTTATTAGACCTAGTGCTGATAAATAAGAGAAGATATAGGTTTTTTTCATTAAACCTAAACTATCTTGTTTATCAAAGACTTACATAAATTATGTGCATTTGAATTTAGACGGTTGTGAGCTGGTTTCTGAGAGAATATATATTGTTTAAATCTATCAAGTTTAAAGTTATTATAGTTCAATTTTCTTATTTCAGTGAATTTTTGAAATATTTAATTTATATAACCAATTATATATCTACATATGCAAATCAGAACAGAGCTTCATGAATTTGAGAAACTTAATAATCTGTCAAAACCATCCAGAGGTAGGAAAATTTAAAATATATAATCAGAGGTATCAAAGTGCATAAATGCATTCTACTGTCATGTATAACTAATTAAAACAAATAAAAACATTTAAAAAATATATATTTCTGAATGGCAGAGACATGGAGGCACAGAGAAATAGAGCTTATAGCTTCTGCAATTCAATCATGGGTCAAATGGAAAAAGCAACAGCAAAATTTCCTGGTCCAGATACAAAAAAAATTGTTCTCCCAGAGGGTATGCATTTCTTAATTGATCTGACCTTAAAATAGACAAATAACAAAACTGACAAACCAAATACACTGTGTGTCTCACCCAGCAAAGACTAGATTTCTATAAATCATTTACAGAGATCTCCAGATGGTCAGAACCTAAAACCAGATTTCCAACCATTTTGTCAATGAGGAGAATAACTTATTAGCCATTTGAGACCAAAAACTAGACATATAAAATGAGTAGGAAGGAAAATGAAATGAAAAATTCAACATTGAAATTATACCTAGAAAAAACAGAATTCACAGAGTTCTGTTGTGCTTTGGATACACCTAGAACAGGCAAGAAAAGACACTCTTGGGCCTTACTGAGACTGAGGATACATCTCTGTTACTAAAGTTTCTAGGTGAATCCACTGGGAATATCAGTAGGCCTCAAATACAGTTTAAAAGGTATTTTCAAACAGTTAAATCATGGTACTCATGCAGATATGAAATGGAAATATTCTGAAAGACTCTTCTTAACTCATGAGGGAATTGACAGATATTATAAGCAGTTCAAAAAATAATCCAAAAAACAGACATTGAAATGATGTTTTTCATGAGGGATAGAGCTCAGTTGGTAGAATGCTTGCCTCACATGCCCAGGCCCTGGGTTCAATTCCCAGCACCAAAAAAAAAAAAAAAAATTCAGATGGAGAAATGTTTATCATGAATATTTAAGTAACTGTATAAATGGAGGCAAATTTGTTTTTATTACAACATGAGAGGGCAGATAGACCTCTCCCAGACAACATGTTCAACATGTCTATCAGTGACCCAGATTTCAAAAGGGATGGGAAAAAGAATAAAGACAAAGTAAGGGTAGAATAATCAGAAAACCTAGTACAGTGTGCTCTAGGTAGAGTAATGTTTTCATTGAAACATGGATTTGTACTAGAATGTTAAAGCCCAGTAGAAAGTTAGAATTCCCACAAGAAGAGAGTCCCCTAAGGCCACTAACTTCCTATTATGGGCATTTGTAGACTGAGGCCTGATCAGGGCCCAGTGGACACCAGTGATATCATAAAAGTGGAGGGTGTCACAAAGACAGGTTCTGACCAATGAGGGACTGGAACACACTGATATAGTGAGCAGGACTAAGCTTTGATGTTTCAAGAGGCCCTGGCCACTGGAGAAATCAAGCAGAGCCTGTGGTAGCAGAAGCCATCAAGCATCATGGCTGGAAAAAAATACCATCAGAACCACAGGACTAAGAAGCAGACCATCTCCAGATCCACCAGAACAGAGCTGCAGTTCCCTGTGAGCCGCGTGGACCGCCTCCTGAGACAAGGTCACTATGCCCAGCGTCTAAGCTTTTTTACACCCGTTTTCCTGGCTGGTGTCCTTGAGTACCTGACCGCTAAAATCCTGGATCTGGCAGGTCAAGAGGCCCACAGCAACCGCAAGATGCGCATCACCCCGGAGCACGTGGGGAAGGTGCTGGAGAAGAATCGGCATCTCTATCGCCTCTTCGAGGATAACGCCAACCCTCCAGATGTCAAGAAACCAAAAAAGAGTAAGAAGTAATGACGACTGGGTCTCCAGCCCTGGTGGAACTTCCACAAAAGTCTCACCCAGCCCCCAAATCCCATAGAGGAGGGATCCTGTGCTGTTGTCATCAACCACATTATTAAAGCGTTTAAGTCAAAGCTTGTGGATGTGACTCCTCTCAGTTTCTGTCATGTTGAGTTGGAGGGGTTTGTGAGGCACCCAGGAGGGGTTATCCCAAAGAGGGTTGGAGGGGTGACAGCAGGGGTCAGTATGGGGTGTTCGAATCAGTGATTTCAGGGGAGCAGTTTCTAATAGAGACAGTGCGGTCCCTGGTTGGGGGGAGCTGGCTGGGGTAGGAGGCAGAGAAGCTGTCCTCGTAGGCCCTGAACAAGGAGGACCCTGGGAGGCCAGGGGGTTGGCTGGGGCCTTCCCAGGCACGTGGGGTTCCCAGCAGGAAGCTGGTAACTGGGGGGGGGGGGGCTGAAGACCATGACTGAGGTGGGGAAGGCTTTCTTCACAGTAG